AATCACTAAATTCATCAGATTTTTTTAAAAAAAATCACTATTGACTAAATAATAGTAATTGTTAATGCTCATAGGAAGTCTACTGTTTATAAATCAACATATTGAGTGTTTTTATATGTCTCTCTCTCTTTTTTTTTTTTTTTTGGTACCTGTGGCTTCATATGTAAGCTGTATCCCCTGCCCTATATGTCATTTTATTAGTCCTTTCAATAATTCTGAGTTAAATGTTACTGATAAATAATATGTTTCATAAATCATTCAGGATACAGAAATAAGTGCTTTTCTCAATTAAAAAAAAAACCCACACACTCTCAAACTGTTCATTACATGATAATCACAAACCACGAGTGGCTACTGGGCACTTGAAATATGGCTGGTTCAAACAGACATACTAGAAATATAAAATACCCTATTTGAAACACTTGGTTAAAATGATAAGAATGTAAATTTTTTATATTAATCACATGTCAAAATGCTAATATGTTATATTGGATTAAAATATATTAACGTCAATTGCACCTGTTTATTAGGTACATCTATTAAGAAACTTAAAATTACATTTGTGGCTTGCATTATATTTCTGTAGGACAGTGTTGCTGGAAAAGCATCKGTGAACAATTTTTTTTCTATACTGCAGATTGAACCCAGGGACACACATACTATGCAAGCACTCTGCTACTGAGTTACATCCTCAGCTGTATGCACAACATTTCAACAGGCAAATAGTCCCAGGCACAAGGCTTATGATTGACATCATCCATGTCACTCCTTCCTTCCTCTGTGTTAGCTCACTTTATCTTGTTCTTCAGGTTGGGGCCAAGTTTAACTTAAGAATTGGGTTTTCATTTAACTCTAAATTATTTGGCCATATTTCTGCTATCATAACTACTGTTGTTAATATTATTGATCTTAATGAACATTAGAAGGAGCTTTTGTTTTCTTTAATTCCTGTGCCTCCACTACCTACATCCACTCATACACACACATTCCCCTTTCTTCTAATGTCATAAATGTAATATTTTAGGGCAAGATTCAGTATTTGCTATTATGACTATAAATGCTAGTCATAATTGTGTGTTAACTATTTTTGGCAGGGATCTCGTTTATCCTGGGATCAGTAATTGCCTAGTTATTTCTCATTTACGTAGCTTTCCATGGAACTTTCCTAAGGAACTCCAATTCATGTTCTCTGCTAATTGCCCCAAATTCATCAGCATCTATGCAGACATTTCAGGATATGCCACTCCTGGAACCTTGCAATGTCCTGTTCCAGTGGTTCTGCCTGTCCCCACAGCTCTCATGCAGGGATCTCCTTTTAGGATCCTAGGTTTTCCTCAAGTCTTCTCCTATCTTGGCCTTCCTATTTCCTACATCTTCCTCTTTTTTGGTTAATTTCCTCATTTTGGTGCAGCACATCTTTGGTAGCTTCCTGAGAAGGGATGCAGGGGACATAACATTTTTAAAGACCTTGCATGTCTAAAAATGTTTTTTTTTYCTTCTCTTATGTTTAAATGCAGTTGGAGCTTTAAACAATTTTCTTAGACTCTTGAAGATATTTCTCCATAGGCTTTTAGCTTACAGAGTTGCTTTGGGCAATTTGGAGCCAATTCTGACACCTGATCCATTGTATTCTCTGCTTTCTGTCCCCACCCACCCCTCAAATTTGTAAGATTTGTCCCTAGTGTCTAAAATTTCACTGATATATGCCCAAATGTGGGTCTGTTTTCATCCTGAATTTTATGTGCCACTCCTCCTATACTGGTCCTTTAATTTATTCTCTTATTTTTCATCTTTTTCAATTTTGTTGAAGTTTCTGAGAGATTTACTCAACTTGAACTTCCAACTCTTCAAGTAAATTTTTTTTAATTTCAGCTTTCATACTTTTAATTTGTCATTTTTCCACAAGTTTTCTTTTTTAAAAGTAATTTTTGACTTCATTTATGTCATTTTTAAAAATCTTCCTAACAATAGCATAAAGAAAATGTTTCTTCCTTCACAGTCTCCATTTTAGCAAGTAATATTTTCTGCTTGTTTGGCAGAAAATGACTATATTTTGCCTTACATGATAGGTGATTCCTGGTTGTTTATTTGTATTAGAGAATGGGACATGAAAATGATGACTAGAGTTTCTGTATATGGGTGTGGGGCTTGTGGTTGTGGACTTCACTTTAGAGCCATCTGTCTAGGCTGTTTCATTGGGGAACCCCTGATGTCAGTATTTTTAGATCCTGCCTTTAGTTCAGTCCAGTTCCTGAATGAGGAGGTTTCAGTTTCCCATCTGGAGTATCTAGGCAGGATAGAGTGGCATGTGGGCTGGGAAAGGTCTCCCTCTGTAAATATTTCCGAATACTTTTCTTTTAGTAGGGTAGCCCTACCTTCTACTATGTCTATTGTTTTCCAGTCCAGAGAGCCTCTGACACAACACAATAAAGGATGTACTTATCTTTTTATTGCCAAATAAAATTTGATTGTGGAGATATAACACATTTTGTTTATTCATTCATTATTGATTGACATTTGGTTTGTTTTCAATTTGTTTATTGTAATTATGCTACTATGAACATTCCTATGTAAATTGGACATAATATTTTTACTTTTGTTGGGTACATACGTGGGAATGGAAATCTTGGATCATGTGTCAACTCTCACTTTTTAAAGATATAAAATCAATATTTTTAAATTCACCGGTAATTCTATATACCATTAAGGAACAATCCTAAAATAAAATTAAGGAAACAATTCCATTTACAACAGCATGAAAAAGATCGCTTAGGAATAAAAACAGCAAAATAGGTACAATATTTACATACCAAAAGTCATAAAACATTACTGGAGCTGGGCATAGTGGCATATACCTGTAAATCCCAGCTATTCAAGAAGCTGACGCAGAAGAATCACAAGTTCAAGGCCAGCATGGGTCATTTAGCAAAAGCCTGTCTCAAAAATAAGTAAGTAAATAAATAAAAAGGGCTGGGGTTACTTAGCGGTAAGTGTCCCTAAGCTCAATCTCTAGTACTGAAAAAGGAAAAMAGAAAAACTTCAAAAAATTACTGAGAGAAATTAAAGACAAGGAAATGAGACAACATCCCATATTCMTGGATTAGAACAACTTAATACTGTTAAGGCAGCAATACTTATCAAACTGATTTACAGATTCAGAACAATTGTATCACAATTCCAGCTGACTTTATAGAAATTGATAAACTTATCTTACATTGTATATGAAAATGCAAGGGATCTGGAGTAGCCAAAACAATACTGAAAAAGACTCATACTTTCTCCTTTTAAAAACTTAACACAAAGCTAAAGCAATCAAAACCATGTGGCACTAGCATAAGAATGGACATTCAGATCAATGGAATAAAATCAAGACTCAAAAAATGGCATCTCATTTATTGACAACTGATTTTAAACAACTGATTTTCAGCAAGAGTGTGAATACAATTTGAAGTGGAAATTCAATAAATGACGCTAGGAAAAGTGGATATCACGTGCAAAATAATAAACCTGGTCCCTTATATCACACTACATACAAAAATTAACTCAAAATAAAATAGAAACCTAAAACTAAACAAGAAAACATAGGTATAAATTGTGTGACCTTGCATTAGACAATAGTTTCTTAGATATGATACCAAAGCACATATGACAAATAAAAAAATAKTAAATTGGATTTCATTGAAATTAAAAGCTTTCATACTTCAAACCAAAAAGAATAAGAAAATATAAAACTGGCAGATAAATACATGAAAAGATGCTTATCATCATTACCCACCAAAGAAATGCAAATGGAAACCACCATGAGGTATCATCTTATACCTTCCTGAATTTATTAATTCTAATAGTTTTTTTAATAGTTCATTGATGTTTTCTCTATATAAGAACATGTTATTTGGAAATAAAATAGGTTTATCTCTTTCTTCCTAACTTGGGTGCCCTTTATTTCTCTTTCTTGCCTGATTTCCTTGGCCAGAACCCTAGTACAGTGTTGGATAAAAATGGCAAGAGCACAGATATTTTTGTCTTTCCTCATCTTAAGGGGAGAAAACATTTAGTGATTTATCATTAAGTATGATTTTAGCTGTGGGTTCTTCATAGATGTCTTTAATCAGGATGCAGAATACCCTTGTATTCTTATTGTGTGTGAGTGTTTGTGTTTAAATGAAAAGAGTGTTTTGGAGTCCATTGCAGTGGTACATGCCTGAAATCCCACAACTCTGGAGACTGAGACAAGAGGATTGCAAGTTCAAGGTCAGCTTGGGCAATTTAGCAAGACCCCCATCTCAAAACAAAAAATAAAAAGAGCTGGAAATGTACTCAATACTAGAGTACCCTTGGGTTCAATCCCCAGTACTTAAAAAAATTTTTTTTAAATAGTGTTTTGGGTTTTGTTGTTTATAATTATTTTGTGTTTGAGATGATCATGTGCATTTACCCCCTTTATTCCATAAATATATCATGTGTTTAATTACACGTATCAACACATCCTTTCATTCCTTGGTTCAATCCAATTTGTTCTTAGGGACTAATCTTTTTTATATGTTTTTTATATGTTGGCTTATTAATATTTGTTGAGGATTTTTGTGTCTTCATAAGGGATGTTAATGTAGTTTTCTTACATCTTTATCTGGTTTGGTATTGGTACAAGACTAGTCTCTTGTACCAATTTGATTTGAGGCGTTTTCCTCATGATTCTATTTTTTAGAAGAATTTTTTAATAGAATTCTATTTTTTTTAATAGAATTAAACCTTTTAAAGGTTCAAAATTATTTCTTTAACCACTTGGTAAATTACTCCATGGAGGCTATCTAGGTTTGTGCTTTCCTTTGTGAGCAGTTTTTAAGTTACTAATTCAACATAGTATTTTGGTTAAGGACATTTATAAGAGAATATTCATTTTACAAACACGTATGATGTTTTATTTATTCAGTCAGTTTTTCTTATAAGATGTTCAAATAAAAAGAAAGCTTATGTAATTATGCATTTCTTTTCTCTTAAAGGTCCTATAATTGCTGTGGAGAATCTGTAAGCCATGGCATCTAAGAAATTTGCTGTTAAAGTAAGTATTGCTTGATATAAGCCTTCTTTAAAATAATTGATCACTTTCTAATATGAGTTTGTTAATTGAAAATTGAGTGTTATTTCTTTTCTTTACATTTGGGACTCTGAAAATTTTAAGTACATTAAAATTTATATTTTAACAATGAGATAGGAGGAGAAAATTAATAGTTCATGTAGTTACAAGGAGTTCTTTGCTTCAAGTTTTTTGTGTAAGATGCTTTTTTGTCATAACTTCATCCTTCATATTTCATGTCCATAACGTGATTTCTGATTGTGACAAAGCACATAAAATGTCAGAATAAGATAGTCAGGCAACAGATGCTGTTTCTGGGTCCAGGAGAGTTCTTTTGTCTCTCTGTCAGGAGAGTTCTCTTGTTTTGATGTCCTCTTTCATTTTCCTCTTTTAAAAATATCCCTTTTCTAATCTCCTGATGCCTGGGAGTGAGACCTTCTCAGGTGTGACAGGATGGGAGGATTATGTGTGGGGAAGAAGAGGTGAAAATTTGATAAATTGTCAGTGTATGCTCTTAAGGATGCTTCCATACATGTTGGCTGTTCTTTAGATCATTTTCTGCCTGCTAATGTTATTTTAAGTACCAGTTTAAAATCTCAAAATGTAAATTATAGTTGTTAGTTTACAAATAAGAAACTTTTTAATATTGTTAGTTTATCTTATTTTTAACCAAGTCAGTGTTTATTCAGATTTACTAACATATTTATAAATCACATGTCCTTCAGTAGTATTTCTTTCTACAAGGATGAATTAATGAGGAACTTCCACTGTTTGTCTAAAAATGTATTCTGATCTTACTCTAAAAGGATATCAAGTTGATTTTGGAATTCTATGTTGTGCTTTAATTTTTACTCAGCATTTAAAATATATTTTTTCATCATCTTCTGATACCTGCTATTGCTACTGAGAAATGTTTTCATTTTCTACTCATGTTTAAAAATTACATGAAACTTAGTGATTTAAAACATCAGCCATTATGCTATATGTCATAATTGTGCAAGTTGCCTGGCCTCAGTTGAGTGGTTTCTCCTTTTGATGGTGGTTGGGACTGCAGTTATCTAGAGAATTGATTTAGTGGAACTTCAAAGATGTCATGTTCACATGCCTGGCAGTTGGTGCTGGTTGTGGTTAGAATCTTACCTGGGTCTGTTGATTCTTCTCATCCACATGGCTACTTTGTGTGGTTTTGGCTTCTCCTAGCATGGTGTTGTGAATCTTGCAGTAACAAACAAGTTGCAAGAACATAAAAGTGTAATTCACCCTCCGAAGGCTTAGACTCAGAAGTCTCAGCTGTCACCTCTGTTGCATTCTGCTGGTCAGAATAAAGGCTAGTCCAGAGTCAGGGGCAGCTGGAACTCCTGAAGAGAGAAGCATCATGTTCTCTGCTCATAGGGAAGGGGAGAATCACTGGGCCACATCTATGGAGACTAGTCACCACAGAAGTCTCATGTTGGCATAATGTCATTTCTTTTTTGGTTATTTGTCTTTTCTTTCTGGTTGCACTTAAATTTATATTTCTGTCTTTGATGTACCACATTTTCATTTTGAAATTTCTAGGCATAGACTTGTTTTTATTTATCTGTTTTGGAGTGTAATATGCATTTTCAATTTGAGGACTTAAGTCTGTAATTTTGAAAAATTCTCTACCATTTTTTCTTCATGGATTGTTTCTCACAAATATGTTCTTTTTTCAGAACTTTTATTCTAACTTTGTCGGATAATGCCACGTGACTATTCCTTAAGTGCTGTGTAAGAGTGAAATTAACTTGTTCAAGTTTGAGTCTCTGTAAGCCATGTGCTCAGAAATGGACTGGGCTTCTTGCAAAGCTTGTCCCCATCCTGCCCAGGTCCTTGTTATGTCAGAAATGAGTCTTGATTTCTAAGACATATATTGACATGGAAGAGTCTACCACTATATTAACCCTATCTTRTAGCCACATCTGCAAGTCTGGGAGTCATCTTCCAGATCATGGGAGGCAGGGGAGCTACCTCAGCCAATAGTATTAAGCTCACAGGGTAACAATAGGCACAAATTTCTGACCTATTAGATTGAAGATTCTACACATCACATTGTGATTATATCCCTGCCACTGATCACACAGGCAGGGGTGTACTTCTTTCCTAATCATGTCACTTAAAAGCATCATGACCCAAGAATTAGGATCCCTTTCTCACTCACATGCAGTCTTGCCAGATAGCTTCGTGCTGCCTGAGAATGTCAAAGGCATCAGGTACCTGCATACCTGCCGCTGGTGCTGCCACCACATGCCTTCACCCCAGTTCATGCTGTCCCAGTAGGCTTGTGTGAGTGTTGTATGGCTATTGCCCTTTCCTTTTTTTCTTCCCTTTATGTTGCATTCAGACCTCCTGTAGTTCATTAAACTCTTTTTTAACTGTATTTAATATGATCATTAACTTGTTTATTTTTAGTGACTATATTTTATCTGCAAAATTTATATTTGATTATTTTTAATAATTCATATTCTACCAGCTCTTTTTATACATACTTATCTGGTTTCTTTCAGTATGTTTTCATTTTCTCCTTTTATCTTTATGGTAATATTAAATTTATTTTACAGTCTCTTTTAGATTAGTTCTGTTATTTCTACTATTATTTACTAGATGTAGGATAAATTGTTCATTGAAATTGCTGGATTGTTCATGTGTTTGTAATTTATGATTGTGCATTCATTTTCAGTGATACCCTACACACACACACACACACACACACACACACACACACAGAGGTGGAAAGTCCTATGAGTTCTGCAGAGCCGTTGAATAGTTTCAAGTTTACTTCTGCTGGAGCCATTGGCATTTCAGTGTTTTAGACCAGGCATTATATTAATTTCATGACTTGGGATTCTTCCACCTTATAGGTGGTATTAATTTAAAATCCACAATAGGGTAGGGTATAATAAGCTGATGGGGTTTTTTTTGTATTTTGCCGACATTCCCTCACTTTCTTGCTGTTCCTTCTCCACCTAAGGTCCTGGATGAATGCTAAATTTCCATATTGCTTTTGTTTATTGGTGAAAAGAAACTCTTGAAGTTGTATTTTCAAGAGGGTAACCATTTCTCAAGGGATGAAGTAAGAAGCTCTATTGAATAACTCCTCTCCCAAGAAATGTATAATTTCAATGATGGACCCTATTTATCCATATGTACCAGAGAGTATTAAATGAGGATATGTATAAATGGAGGACTTATTTACATACCAATTGTTGTATTATGTCCTAAAGAACTACAAGTTGAAGTTCTTCACATCTTCAGGCTTAACTGAAGTGGGCTTCTTACCCAGCCTCTTTCTCTTTTGTGCCTCTGAGACACTAGAATACGAGTCACTTCCCCTTCCTGGCTCTTATGTCCTTCTTCTAAACATCCTGATAGTCAGGTTTGTACCTTCCAAGGGTACTTATTGTTAAGTACTCTTAGGGGCTTATTAATTTTTCAGAGAGCCAATTTCTGGCTGTGAATATTTGAATATTTCTGGCTTTGAAAACAAATACGTAGAATACTTGTTTTGTATTTCATCAGTTTCTGTCTTTATTATTTCCTTGCTTGGGTCAATTTACTTTTTTTTTCTACCTTTTTAATGTAGAACCTTAAGTCATTGAAACCAAGCCTCCCCTTCCCCAATATATGTACTTAAGGCTATAAATTTCTTTTAAGCATTTCCTACTTTAATTGTATCCTTCATGTTTTGATAGGGGTGCAGTTTAGGTAGGAATTTTGTTATTTAAATCAAAATAATTTTAATTTTCATTGTGATTTTATTTTTGCTCTATTGGTAAAGTGTATTTTCTTTTATTTTCTAACTATTTGAGAATTTTCTAGTAATTATTTTTTTATTGGTGTTTAATAAAGTTCCTCTGTCTGTTTTGGTAAATGTTCTGTAAGAATTTGAAAAATGTGATGGTTGTCAATTACAGTGATTGTTATATACATAGATGGATGGAGTTGTTAATTGTATTGCATAAATCTTCTATATATTTACTAGTATTTTTGTCTACCTGTTCAATCAGATGAGAGAGATGTATTAAAATCTTTAGTTATGATTTTAAATTTATGTATTTTCTACTTTTAGTTTTATTGGTTTTGCTTTGTATATTTTAAGACTGTATTAATAGAAATGCACAAATTTATAATTACCTTAGCTACTGAATTAAATATTTAATAATTATGATATATTTTATGCCTTTTTATCTCTAGTAATACTTTTTAGTCTAAAGTTTGCTTGTCTAATATTAATATAGCCTATATTTGAGATCCATCAACCAAACCTGAGTTGCTACTAGGTTCCCAAATCCTGTCAGTCAGTAAGTCCTACCCAGGTGCACAAAACTTCCTACTATCATTCCACTGTTTTAATTGTGAATGGACAAGAGTTTCAGCACAGGTTTAAGAAAAACTTGAAATATGAGGGACAGAGAATAAAATGAATGAACAAATTTAGAAGCTCAGAAAGGAAGATTTTACACTTATTTGTGTTCCCAGAGCAGAAAAGAAGCTATTATAACTGTGAAACAAGGTCATTGGTATGAACAAAAGAAATAAATGAGAATAAGAAAGAGCTCTTACCAGTTACAAACATGATAGAAATAAAAATTCAATAAAACATGATGAGACCATCAAGGAATACTGCTCAAAAAAGTAGAATGAAAGATAACAGGTTTTAAAAAACAGAGAAAAAAGAAAATTAGAGATTCACTCTTACTTAATATGAAAAATGGAAGTTCTAGAAAGAAAATAGTAGAGAGGAACATTATGGGAAAAAAAAAACCACAATAAAATTGACCAGAAATGAAGGACACAAAGTTCCTGTGTGAGAGGATTATGAGCAAGTACCCAATAAAGTCAACAAAAAAGAGTGTGCTAAGACACATCATCTAAAATTTAAGGACACTGAGAATTTAGAGATGAAAAGAAAAAAAATCACAGAGAACTGAGAATTAGAACAGCCTGCTCAACTGCAACAGATAGGA